GAGTTCTCAGCACCCTCCAAATGACATGCCATTTACTGTATATCAGTTTCATTTAGAAAAGCTCTTAGTGCTCCAAATGAGATCTCCCATGGGGAATATTGGTTGGACAGTTCTGATGACTAATAAAAGTAATATTTTATTGTTACCAGAAAGTTCCTAATTATGGTTGTCATCACTGAAAATAAACATATTCAAGGTTCTACTGAACATTTTGATAAAGCCTTCTGTCCAAGCATGGGAAATATTTTTTTAAAGTAACTTGCTACTAAATGTGGCAACGTGTGAGACTGCCTTTCAGTCTGCTTCTCTGATTCTTCTGCTTCTTAAAATAAACAAATGTCAAATAGGTTATCCCCCAATAATGTAAAGATTTCGGGCATTTCCACATTTGAAGTCTTGCCTCTTTCTTGTGGGTACATCAGGATATCACAAGGATTTCAGCAATTTCTTTAATAAAGATTTGAACTGCAAGCATATTATTGGCAAAGAGATTTTTGGAGGTAAACAAGCAATTTTGATTTCACACTCAAACATGTATTTTCTTGGAATCAGTTTGTTTCCATGCAGCTGGTTTTGCTCCTTGAATTCAGATTTTATATATATTTGCCCGCTGAGTAGTGCACACTATATAAGAAATCCTACTAATTGGAATTCCACCTTTTGCTTCACAACTTGTTTGTGGGAATTGCACTTCAAATGTCCCTAGGATGAGGTTCTGCTTTGGATATGAGAATTCAATGACTCCAAAGCAAAAAGGGTCACCTAGAATAGCAAACATCCTCCATGACAAAATATACAGGTTTATGATGCAGGAGGCTAGTGCTCAGTTTTGGAAGAAACTTTCTCACTGACGCCATGTTAGAAATGATCATAGAAGCAGAATAGCAGGTTACAAAACTAATGTCCTGATTTTATTTGTGAAAATTAACAGATATTTCATCATGCATCTCCTGATTGCACTTATCATCCAAATATTATGTGGGCTTTAAGGTCACATGTTACATCGCAAAATGTCCAGTGAAACATCATAATAAATAAAATGGAACTTTTATTATTTTTTGCAAAAGTTGAACTAGAGAAAATTCATTTCTTAATGTGACAAAATTTTCACACACTATGGCCCCCTCCATCTTTATGTTTTGCTTGATAGTACAGTAGTCCTGTTCAGGGAAGGCTCTGTCACATTTTCACTCAATTTCACAGCAAGACTGACATGTAAGGAATTTTCCCCTCTTCAGCAAAACATATAAAATCTAAGGCAAAGTCAAGCCACTCCACACACATAAGTGTATTGTATTTCACTGCAGAAAGTAGGACATAAGCCCTGCTGGTAAAGAGAGCAGAAAGGGGCAGATTTTCAGCGGAGGCACAGCACAGAGTGACAGACACCAGTCTTTCCAAAAGCCCTTTTCTTTCACCTAGTGACTGACCCCCTCAAAACCTAGATTCCTTACATGTTTAAAACCAAAGCAAGCTCTTGGATTGTTACTGCTGCAAAATGAAGAAGTGAACAAAGACCACAGAGAATGTTATAGAAAAATAATTTATTCAAAATGTCATAAGAATAAACTTTAAAGTAGACTATCAAATGGTTACAAGTATCCCAGAAAAATTGCCCATAATTTTTTCTTAAATGACTGAATCCAGCTCATCATTTTATACTTCTTCTATTGTAGCTGGTGACGGCACAGGTACTTTGAAGGGAAAGCAAGTGAGATGAAGCTGCTTGTATTTTTTTCTTTGAAATGTATTGGTGATAACAATATTTGCAGAGAAAAAAAAGAAAAGAAAATCTAAGTTTGGACACTGACTGACCAGAATGATTGTGGTTTACCTTCAACTCAACCTTAGACATCTGCATTAGCTTCTTAGAGTATACTGTCATTGAGCAATAATTTTAAATTTTTATGGCATTCTGCTTAGGTAATGATTAGGAAAAAAAGAGTGGATCATACAAAATTCACTTATTACCGTAATAAGAATTATTACTACCATTTGGACTGAGGATAAGTATATGAAACACTCATCTATACAACTATCCTGAATGGATACTGAGTGCATCAATACTGTAAGTTCAGCAAGCTAATAGCAAGTTCCTAAGCAAGACATGATGATAACATTTCATGTAACTCCTCTTTGGCAATACTTAGACACTGCAACTGAATACCAAACAGTGTCACGTGTGCCAGTCAGTTACTGCAAGAAAGAAAATGTGATGAACTGTTTGTTTTGAACTACCAGTATAAACATATTGCAGAAATAAAACCCAAACTTAAACAATGGGGAAAGTTATCCGGTATTAAAATAAACAGTTCTAGGAAAATCCTTAAAAATGTTTACCGAGTCTTCTGTGCAGTCTCTGTGCAGAGCGTTTTGCTGTATCCCTGGTTTGTCAACCAACCCTAGTTACACTGACTATAGATATGCAAATGTTAATGGACAAGGCTGGGCCTTAATTGCCTGTAATTTGCTGCCCAAGCAAGGGCATTTTTATCTACAGTCAAGCTTGCAGGTCATCAAAGAAGCAATTTTGGTTTTAAGCATGCAAAAAACAAACCATGATCCTTTTTACATAAATATTTTTTAATATCACAGGGTGGCATCTGTGCTGAGAAAATAATTCACCTTGCCAAAAATTGGCTATGTACAGCTTTAATAAAAGTTATATATATTAACTGAAGTAATAAACATATTTTCTTTACGTAAATCAGACTATATCTCAAATTCTTAAACATTGTTTCTGATTGTGACTATTCACGTCCAGTCATAGACTTATAACCATTAATTATTCTTTACTTTATTCACAGAAGGTGCATTGTAAGATGCCATTTAGTGAAGCTAATTTAGGGGGAAAATAAATGCAGAGTATAAAAATAAGATGTGAGATATCTACATAATATATTCATTACAATTGAGCATTATGCATGTTTTGAAAGGAAATGAGTTATAGCTGAGATGCTTTGTAATGGCAGCAGCAACAAAGCAAATTCAGTATTCAGAGATGCTATAAAGGAGCTGCATCAGCCCCATTTGTTCAGAGTGAGCCATACTCCATCACACTGAGAAATACGCCCTTTCATTCCAAGGAAAACTGACACACTGGGATACGTGCACAATCCCAGTTTTATGCAAACCCCTGGGAGCAGAGGGCTGCAGTCTGGGAGGGAAAGGAGGAGGGGGTCAGTTCTGCCCATAGCCAGTTTTACAATCATTGCAGAAGAAAACAGTCCTCAAATATAAACCCCTTTCACTGGGCTTCCTACCTGTTTAATCACTTCCCTCCAAAGTGTGAGAGGACTAACCCTCAGACATTCACACTCCAGAAACTCATATTTCCTCATGTTCAGTTCACAGTAAAACAGTGATCTTAGTTCAGTCTCTAGTGGACAAACACAGAATAAGTAGTCTTAGAAACATGATTCAGCAGGCAATTTGCTCAAGTAAAATCATGTGTTCATAAACACAGAAAACAACTTTCCTCTTTTCTGTGCTTGTATCAGCCTTCCAAGGCACAGTAAAATAATTTCTCAAGAAATGTTTTCCACTACAAAAGTCGTCCCCTCATTTCCAGCCTTATGTTCCCCAAAGCAGACTAGAATATCAAAATATGAGGGAAGTAGTTTAAAAATGAAATTCTTGTTTATATGTTGTTTTACAGTCATGTATACTGCACAGAATCTTCTCTCTCTTGCTCGAGACAGATATGCAATAGCACAATTAATTTACCAAGAAGTCCTCTCTACAAATGTTAGTAGAGATAGGGGAGTGGGGGTGGCTGGATATGCTTTTTTAACACATTTCTGCCTTTCAGACTGTCTGAATGAAGAAAAACTTGCAAATTAGATAGGTAACAGTAACTATGCTAATATAAGTTTCAGCCCACCTAGTAGAGTCCTCATTAGAGTTTTATTGATGTGCATTCTTAGTCTGAGCTTGCATTGCTGTTAAATCATGTATCTCTCAAATGGGTACATACAGCAATTTTCTCATGCTATATTACATGATTTGTTTCATCACTCAATTGCACAAAGTTTTGCCATGTCAAAATGCCAGCGTAAGAATGGGAATGTATCACAAATAGCTGTACACAGACTGCTTGTTTATTTATTTTTACTATCAGCTATCCCAAAGTATTTTCATTACCAAGGCGTGGGCAAGATCCTGCAAGGTATGTAATTTTACGCAAGTGATTTATCCTGTTAAGGTGAATGGGACTGCTCACATGAGTGAAATTATTCACATATTTAAGTCTTTTCAGACCCAAACTTCAGTGCATGCATAAAATACTGAAAAGTTCATTAGAAGTTTAAAGCTATTGCACAAATTCTCTAAAAATAATTACTTCTACTAAGTTACTGCAACACCTTGAAACCCATTTTCCCCTTTCTAGGAAAGAATGTACATATACACATTCAAATTGAAACAGGCTGTTTCAAGACCAGTGTAATCTACATGGTTAAAAAGGTTTACTGTGATGTTTTATAAGTGTGAATGCCTACATACTTTTTCTTTCTTTCGAGCAATTAGCTGGGTAGAATAGTATTACAGGATCTATTTATGGAGGAACAATGATATTCTTAACCCAGTGGTTTTAAATGCAGGGTTTTTTTAATGCTCCCTTTTGCTGTCAGAGTAGCAGGTAACCTGCATGACATCTGATCTGATGCTGTGAACTATAAGTAGAGCTTATAAGAATACTTAGTATGTTCTATCATTAGAGTCTCTGGAGGATTTTTGTGTTCTCTGGCTCACATACATCCACAGTCTCTTGAGAAAAAGCTTTAAGAAGTTGCATCTTTAAGTAAAACAAAGAAAATTCTGCTCCCAAGAGCAATGTCACTAAGGGGGATGCACTATGGCTGAGACATTTCTCCCCTACACAGCCATGAACTAGAGCAATCCTTATTACCTCTGTTGTAGAAACTAATGAAAACTTTGAACAGCATAAACATCACCCAAAAAGAATCATTTAGTGAGAAACAAAAAAAAGAAACACTTACTTTTTGCAGCCACTGAGTGTAATTTTCCATCACATGTTCCAGATGTTGCAGTTTCTGGGAAGAGAAATCCTGTTCCACGTGAGGAGCATCTCTCTGAAGAGCATTAGTGTTGTACTGGTCTGTCGTGCTTTCACGACAGTTCCCGTCCTGTTCTGGCAGAATGAAAGTATAGGTGCACTGCCCATGCTGAATCCGGTTAAATCTTCTGCCACTGGTTTCTGGACCCCGACGCTGGTTATTACAGCCTATATGACCAAGAATCGCTGCCAGGAAAGCAAAGGAAAGGAAAACTGTCATGTTATTATTACTTTCCTTTCCTGCTTGAAGAAAAACTTTTTCTTCCTCTTTCTTAAAATTTGTTCTTAATTTCCCTTAAAGGCTTTGGGAAAAGGACCAGAGCAGCACACTTTAACAAACAAGCTTAGATAAACTGCTATTTTTTAAAAATTTCACTCTGAGGATAGCTTCCTTAGTTAAAATTGGGAATATTTATTGCATAGAAGTTAAGATTTATTGTTTCCTCTCTGTTACAGTCCAGCATGTAGCCTGCTTTAGTCAGCTGCATATGCATATCCCAGTCTCTTTCCCCTACACTATCTGCTGCAGAACTGCTATTTTCTCTCAGGCTTCAGTGAGTTTTATTAAGGTTGCACTTTCAAGCCAAGCTGGAAGCAAGCAGCCTTTCACAAGATGACTTGACAGGAATGCGTGTATGAGTGCGCCCCTATGCTAAGGATGGCTGATGGCTCAGTACAGAGGGATCATCTTACAAACTGGCTGGATGCATGACCTCAATCATGCATGTCTTTCCAGCCCCTACTGCATACAACTGCTGAGGGCTTTGGACGAATTCACGTAAGTTTAATAAGTAAGGCAGTCCACCTTAATACACTTCATATGTTCACACTGACCTATTAAAATGTAGATAAAGTGTAGAAGTTTGTTTTAATCCCTCTGTAAATATACAAAGCACTGAAATTAAAAAAGCTTTCAGTTCTGTGCTGCTCTGTATCTCTTAAAGAATTCTAAGTCAGGCGAATGACACTTGTGGGAAAAAAAAGTTATGTGTAATCCTCACATGTTTTAGCTACTTTTCTAAGACAATTGTTTTTCTTTAGCAGAGTTTTCAGATAGTTTTTTTTTACAGCACACAATGAAATTAGGGCTGACAAATAGTAATGGGAAAATGCAGTTCAGAAGGATAATAATTTTCTGTATTTGGTGTCTAAACTAAGGTAATTAATTAAAGAACAGTGAGGGATGGTGGCTGTACTATTTCAGATTGTCTTCTGTATTACTGGATAGTTATCATATGCAAAATACTTCTTCCAATTTGCAAGACTGTATGGGCTAGAGGGGCATCCCTCATTATATGTGGAAACTCTCTCAGGGGCAACATCCTCAGAAAAAAAATTGTGCTAACTACTTAAGAAACTTATACTTAAATAATGTCATTGGTATTTGCTAGAGACAAATAAAAACACAGATATTATAAACAGGATTGGAATACTCCTGAAATTCAGAGGAATTCAGATCTGAGTTTCTAACAAGTATTGTTACAGAAATATTAACCAACACTGATGCAGAGCAATTTGCACAATTTTTCCCTTGAAAGTAAGTAGTCCTCTAAAAAGCAATCACTAAAAAACCCAACTTGGAAGGTTTTTATCCTCAAGGAAACTGACCTGTAAAAATACTGAATGCAAGCATCTTCCGTGCTCATGTGATTGCCACCTGTACCACAATTACAATCTCATTCTAAAACAATTGTCTGGAATATTTAGCCAGGAATCCGACCTACTCCTCAGGAAGCTATTCCTACTCAAAACTGGGGTAGAGGTTTTTCATCTTGCATCTGGAAAGTAATCACTGCATTTGAACCAATAAGTGATACCCTCTACAATATTACAATATTACAGAGAAATGAGAAATTCTTTTCTTGCTCAAGAATGTTTATATGTCCAATGTACAGACAGAGAGAAAGGCAAAGAATACAAAGCAAAAAGCAAAGCATCAATGCTACTGTTGCTTTGAGCAAAATCGGAATATCCTTCCACCTCTTCAGCCCCCTTTAGGACTCTGCTTTTTCTCTTTCTGCTTCTGAAAAATAATTTCTTACAGTTTGCTCGCTTGTTTGTATACAGCACTTCTCATAACTCACCACCACCACCAGAACTAATTCTCCTGTGGTTTACTACCCTGTCTTTGCAATTATTGTGAAATGTATTTGCAAGATATTTGCCCATCTAAGATCAGAGATCTTCAGTCAGGAAGAAAACTGTTGAATCAGACACAGAGCTGAAGGGTTAGCACAAAATCATCTATTCCCTCTGAGGCAAAGCAAAAAATACCAGACCATAAACATGGCAACAATACATGCTTTTCTCTTCAGTAAAAAGAGTACTTTATAAAAGGGCCTCAGAGCAGCTGAAAGGGGGATAGCAACAGTGGGCGTACAAAGGCTTCCTAGATTTTTAGTTCATATTTTCAAATATGAACACATATTGACACAAATTCTGCATTCATTTCCTGCAGAGTATTTAAGCAACAGATTGATTCACATGCAGACTTGGAAGAGTGAAAACACAAACTTCCAATTCATGTTTTTCAGATGAGAAAAGACTTCATAGAAGTAAGGGCTGGCTCACTTTTTTGCTATTACATGACCCCTTCCCACTGGCTTAAGGTGACTTCTCCTTCCCCTTCTGTCCCCTTCCTCCTGAAAGCTAACAGCCTTCTAGAAGCACACAGAGTTACCAGACATCCTTGGGGTTTGCTCATTTGTCTCCAGCTTAGTCCCCTAGTAGAGCACTTGTCTCTCAAAGCCATATCCCCAACCCCAGGCTCCAAACTGATGGATCATGAGCAACATGTAACAGAGAGGTGTCTCAGCAAGGTACAGCAGTGCAGCAGACAGAGCACCTCCTACCAGCACACTGCACTAAAGGCTTCCGTACGAAAAGAGAGCGAAGTCCCCCCACCCACGTACTGTCCACGTCTGTGTTGTAGGAGTAGTGCATCTAAAATATGTTGTGTGTCCAAACACATGGGGGTTTCATGAAGATGCAAGGAAGGGATGGCAAGAGCCCAGGAGCCATTTTGTCACTCCTAGTTTGGAGCACCTCCTACCAGCACACTGCACTAAAGGCTTCCGTACGAAAAGAGAGCGAAGTCCCCCCACCCACGTACTGTCCACGTCTGTGTTGTAGGAGTAGTGCATCTAAAATATGTTGTGTGTCCAAACACATGGGGGTTTCATGAAGATGCAAGGAAGGGATGGCAAGAGCCCAGGAGCCATTTTGTCACTCCTAGTTTGCAGACTTTCTAGCCCAAGGGGGGGCACAGAAAGGGGCTCAAGAAATGTGCTTGGATGCGCTTAAATATTTTCAAGGACTCTGAGTGACTGCTGAAATGGCAAGAGCTCTGTTGACTAGACCGAAACTCAGTAAGCTTTGGGGCTGCTCTTGCTGACCCCAGAGTCAGAGCTAACCACTAGGGTCCCCAACTAGAATCACAGACATTCCCAATCCTGTAACACAGGAACCAGCAAGGTCAGCTTGCTGTTTCCCCAAGCACATAGCAAAGTCATTTTGATAAGCACATTGAATCAACCAGGCTAGGTTCAGTTTACACTACTCCCTGGCTCAATCATGATCCCCTGCATACACAGGCAGAAGTGCATCAACAAATACAGAAAAAAAATCTTGTTTCCAGATCCACAACCACTTAATTCCACAACGTAATTTTATCTAATGAAAATGAAAATGAGTTCAGATTTAAGAGGTTTTATTTTCTAAAATTCCCTATTCTTACTAAGGTGTTTGTATTTTTCTTTTCAAAAACAAACGAACCAAGCAAACAAATAAAATATGTTGCCCAAGAGCTGATTTGATAAATATACAATTTATTATCCCAATAGTACCATGTGATTCATATGATATGCCCCAGCTTTTCAAGACCCAAATATTTCAGTAAGGTGAGGTAAAAAAGAGTTCTCACAGTCCAGTCAAGTCACTGTGGGCATTTCTGCAGGATCTTACATTATATATCACAGCTATAATCTATATTATTTGCCCAGTGGCTCCAACAGAATCTGAGTAGGGGCATGTGTGTGTTTAAAATACTCTTTATTTTCCTAAGACCACTTCCTCCAACACAATGACTAGTTTCATATTCCCTGAAATTTTCCTTCTGTGTAACGGGGAAGGGATGGATCCAGAGGCTTCCTTCATAGAACATGTAGCCTCATACCCATTGTTTATTTAGTAGCTATACAAAATACTGTAGCTCACTATATAATCAATTCTACAAGGCAAAATAAGTGGGAATTCAACATCCAGATAGAGGTTACATTCACATGATATGGGTTCCTACATATCTAGCATTAATGCAATTCAATGGCTTTGGTTACAGAATCATATGCATACTGAGAGTTCAAAAAACAGTTCTAGGAAGCCAACATCTATTTCTGTTTCTTTACATTTCTGCTGCAATATGTGTTATTGCTGCAGATGAGTTGCAATAAGGTTGCATCATGTCACACACTGTACCTGGAGTTATTCCAATTCAGTTTCCTCAGAGTACAGAGGAAGTCACTGCAGAATGACTCCCATGTATAGGTATAAGAAGTAAGCTTTTATCTCTAGGTAAACCAATGCTATATAGTAGGACACAAAATATTCAATCTTAATGTAGCACATTCCAAAGGACCTCATTCTAAATATATAAATTCTAGTGAATTAAATGGGATCTTAAGTCCCATAACTCTGACTAGTTTCTTCTTTGGAGATGGTCCCAATTTATCATAGTGCTGAGACCAGAACAGGATGCAGGATATTTGCCCAACCCTTCAAAATCCAGATGGTATTCAGAGCAGATGAAGGGGAACACTTACCATGCATTAACACTTTCTCCTACTACCTATATGCTTTCTTTTCTTACTTTCTTGGGAACAAGTAAGTAGTCATCTCAGGTAAAGTCTTCCTCAGGACTGAAGTTTGCATATTTCCATCTAATTATTTAAGGTATGATCCCACATAATGTTGCTTGCCAGATCCTTCCTTCAAATGAACACAACTATGGGTGCTCAGTCATGCTGCAGCCCAGCCTGACTTGCCCAGCTTTTCACACCTGGGAACAAGTCAACAGCTGGGAGCATTAAGAGAGCAGCAAAAAGCAGAGGCTCTTAGAAGAACATGGTGGTTTCACACAGAAACATCTGAGCTACTGGTTATGGTGTACAACCAGTCTGAATTTTGTCTCACACAGAGGCTTTATTGGATTCTTTCCAAATATGT